CTGATGACAGTTAAAGCTTAGGTGGATTTTTATATCAGAATCTCAAGTGAAAACTGTGCAGATAGAGGGTATTATTGAATATAGGCCCTCGATGTTTAAAATATATAAAAATTTTATTTCAACGTATACAAAAAATAAATCTACCTGCGTTACAGCACGGCGGGAGACGGGGAGGGGGGGGGCCGGGGCACCGCGGCGTAGCGTGACGTGGTGTGCGCGCCGGCCGCGCGGGGTACGCGGCGCGCGCGGAGTGGCGCGCTAACGCGGAGAGAAATATAAAAAGAAATTTAAAGAATCCAATCATTTTAAACCTATTTATTTTTGATTTTGAATAGCAAAAAAGATTTGGTGTTTGTTTTAATGTTAATGATTAAGTATTTTGTTTCAAATATATTCAAATAATTACACTGTACGGCAAAATCAACTTTTTGGTATTGGACCAAACCAATTTTTTTAAGAGATTGAGTCATGGGTAAAAAAGTGATTTCTCCTTTTTCCGAAGTCAGCCTCCGAAATCGAAATATGGGCCTTCGAAGATCGAAATAGGACCTTTGGTAAAAAATTATATTTAATTATTGCATGTAAATAATTGGAACGCTAAAAATGTAGACGTAGTCCCCCTTTTGCTCTTATTTAAATGGTATAACTCTTTTTGTGCAAACTTATATTACTAGTCCTATAAGGAGTCAAAGTTCAGGTCTTCGAAAAATTAAATTCGTTATATTTCAAACAATTTTGAACTGATTTTTAAAAAATTTATATCGTTATAAAGGTGATTAAACTCCCTTTCTTCTGATATGCAAATTTTGATCTATTATTTTTATTGGCCAAATAAGAAATTCGACATAAGAACGATTATGAGAAATGTAAACATAAAACTGTCAAAGCTAAACTTCAAAATGGGGGGGGAATTGCCAGATGAATGTACGTAACCAATAGTTATTCAAGACACGAACCATCATATCGGTATAGACGCGAATTGGCATGTCCACTATGAAAACGCCCACACTGACATACGATAAAAGAATCGGTGGTCACATACCACGAGGTTAGAAAAATATTTTTTCTTTTTGCAATTGGACACGGACCGAACAACACACATCAGCCCTCGCAAGAACGGAAGTAATCCTAACCAAGCAATTTATTAAAGCTGACGACATTGGTTTGGTTAAAGTCAATCCTCAGAGTGCGTATAACTGGGGATTATACTTAGCGGCATTTTTCCACCACATTCCCTCCGGCAAATCCCCAACCAAGTTGTTACCTATGGAAATAAAGAGTATGGATATAAATTCTGGTCTATTCATTTAGCAGCAGTTAGACCACCGTACACCGGTAATCCCAGAATCATCAAACGTAAGTCAACCTCATTATTGTCACCATCCCATAGCAAACGAGCTACCCAACAACAGTTTATCGAGATTCCTGTTTGGACCGACAAGAAAATGTCAAGTCAATCATTGGCGCCCAACGTGGGGCTCGAACCCACGACCCTGAGATTAAGAGTCTCATGCTCTACCGACTGAGCTAGCCGGGCGATCTGCGATGCGAACACCATTGATCAGCAGTCATAACCATTCTGTTGTTGTTGTTGTACAAATTCCCCAAAGAGATTTTGGGGGAGTGTTGCTGGAGTGACAGTCCTTGGCCAGATATAAATCTGGGTCGTTCCGGTTACGTAGACCCGACTGTCGTGGGAACGTCATAACCATTCTCGTTCAGTTCAGTTCGCCAATTCTGAAAAGCAAGTTAATTGATTGACTGATTTTTTTTTAATCAAGTAACACCACAGATCGACGGTCAAGATTTTTGAACCGATAATTTTTCATTTCGCCTTTCGGTATAAGTTCAAGGAACGTAACCGATAACACGGTCAATATTAATTGAGCCAAACTATTAATTTTCCGTTCTTTTTTTGTAATTTCTTTGGGTATTCATTCCCAATAAAATTTTAAACTCGTATCANTTAGAAAAATATTTTTTCTTTTTGCAATTGGACACGGACCGAACAACACACATCAGCCCTCGCAAGAACGGAAGTAATCCTAACCAAGCAATTTATTAAAGCTGACGACATTGGTTTGGTTAAAGTCAATCCTCAGAGTGCGTATAACTGGGGATTATACTTAGCGGCATTTTTCCACCACATTCCCTCCGGCAAATCCCCAACCAAGTTGTTACCTATGGAAATAAAGAGTATGGATATAAATTCTGGTCTATTCATTTAGCAGCAGTTAGACCACCGTACACCGGTAATCCCAGAATCATCAAACGTAAGTCAACCTCATTATTGTCACCATCCCATAGCAAACGAGCTACCCAACAACAGTTTATCGAGATTCCTGTTTGGACCGACAAGAAAATGTCAAGTCAATCATTGGCGCCCAACGTGGGGCTCGAACCCACGACCCTGAGATTAAGAGTCTCANAGCAAACGAGCTACCCAACAACAGTTTATCGAGATTCCTGTTTGGACCGACAAGAAAATGTCAAGTCAATCATTGGCGCCCAACGTGGGGCTCGAACCCACGACCCTGAGATTAAGAGTCTCATGCTCTACCGACTGAGCTAGCCGGGCGATCTGCGATGCGAACACCATTGATCAGCAGTCATAACCATTCTGTTGTTGTTGTTGTACAAATTCCCCAAAGAGATTTTGGGGGAGTGTTGCTGGAGTGACAGTCCTTGGCCAGATATAAATCTGGGTCGTTCCGGTTACGTAGACCCGACTGTCGTGGGAACGTCATAACCATTCTCGTTCAGTTCAGTTCGCCAATTCTGAAAAGCAAGTTAATTGATTGACTGATTTTTTTTTAATCAAGTAACACCACAGATCGACGGTCAAGATTTTTGAACCGATAATTTTTCATTTCGCCTTTCGGTATAAGTTCAAGGAACGTAACCGATAACACGGTCAATATTAATTGAGCCAAACTATTAATTTTCCGTTCTTTTTTTGTAATTTCTTTGGGTATTCATTCCCAATAAAATTTTAAACTCGTATCAAATTAATCTCGTTTACCATTCTCATACTGGTTGAATACTCTCAGTCTGATTTTGTCTTCCGGTAGATTCGGGGGTGGACAAAATAAAATTACTTTTAAGGCACAGCGAAGCACGCCGGGTATTCGCTAGTTAGTTACATATTTGTATAGTAGGGAGATTTTTTCAAATTATATAAATATACGTTATTTGAATATTGAATTAATACACGTTTGAGGAAAGGGTGCGATAGTAGACTCCAGTTATAAGATTATAAATTAAATTGTTGTCAATGTTTTTTAAAATTGTAAACATTCGCCAGCTGTTTCTGTTTATTTATTAGTAAAAGGCAGGACTGCCAATCTTGCGGCAAAACAATAATAAAAATCCAAAAAAACACGTAAAGCCAAACAGAATTAATTGCAAAACGTGCAATGATACACACATTAAATTTCTTATGTGCACCCTCCACACAGACCCCAATCACTTCTGAAAATTTCATTTTATGTGCACCCTCCACACAGACCCCAATCACCCCTGAAAATTTCTTTGATATCGGGCAAGCCGTCTAGGAGGAGTATGCGAACAGGAAGTTTTGCCACTTAATTTTATATATATAGATAATAAAAGCTGTACGTGAAGTGAAAGGGTTCACAGTCTACCACTGGCTTACCTGGGACGTTTGCTTCCATTGAAAAATTAAGCCACAAGCGGTCTTTATGCAATTCGTTTTTATAGCCGCCGTGCTTCTTGTCGTAGATGCATGGGTTGTCCCTTACAAATTCTATTATGCGTTCATCCATCGCACTCCTGTGGAGAAGCATGGTTTTTAAAATTATAATAGTTGCGTTCCAGATGATTCACGATTTGCAGTTTTTACAGGATTTGCAGGAAAAGCTGTTTTCTCACCTGGTGGTCACCTGGAACAGCTTCCTGTAGAAACCTGCAAATCGTGAAGCATGTGGAACGCAACTAATGTATACATTTATACATATATACATACATACATTGTAAGTTAAATAAAAGACTGAAAAATAAGAAACTTACCTATAAAAGGTCCAAAACGCCCGCGGAAAACACAAAAATGCCAAAAATAACGCGCCAATTTCACAAAAAATTTTAGTTGTCAGTGACACAAACAGAAGTTGGCTGCGTTTCATTTATGTCAAATTCGACACTTGAAGTTTGCTGCAATGAAGGCAGTGGCAGTGAATTTAGAATTTGGGCTAAGCTGAGCAGTACTGCCAACTGTCACTGCTGTATTGTGTGTCGCTTCATTGCACAGCACAGTTTCTAAAAAACAGCTGATTTCCAAATACTGCCACTGCCACTGCGTTATTGTATTTTGGGCTTNATGCTATGCGATATGAAGCTTTTGATGCAATATTTTTTCGTGGTTGTTGTCCTGCCAATGAAAAGCTGGGGTCATTCTGATAATCATCAGAAGAAAAATCACCGAACAATTCACTATCTGACATTTTAGATCGAAGATTCACCGTTTACCTTTACCAGATCACTTTTCACTTTTACAACATCACCTACAGAATGTGTTATCATATTGCTTCATACTCGTATTAAAAAGCAAAATACGAGGGTCACCCTGAAAGTCTCCGAAAACGATTTTGTAGGATATTTATTTATTTAAATCTATGGTTTCACAATAAAAACTAGGCAGTAATTCGCCCAAAACAAGGTTTATTATTTTTAATTTTCGGTGTTTAATAATATAAATATATGCTCAGCTATATGTAGTATGTCAATATTAAATGTATGATGTATGGGTGTGTGTATGTAAGCATGGTTGCATTTTCATCCAACACTTAGGAAAGAATAATTACAAAAACATTTTTCCCATGTTAATTCCGTGAGTTAGTAGATCAGAAATTAAATAATCTTCGTAGATACATACATTCTTGCGAGAAAATATGTTATAGTAACATTGATTTGCTCAGTATTTTAAGAAATGTCTCCATATTTATTTTACTTTTTTCAATTATATTTCTCTAAATTTTTTACAGACAAGCACTTGTGTCCGATTGCGGCAGGTATTTGATAATGCCTATAGTTAAAGGTTGTCGTGACAATCTCCTTTATTATATTGATCTAAGCGAGACAAAAAATGTAATATCATCCCTGAAGGTTATCAAGGTGATAGACGTGTTTGAAAATGACTACGAGGTAAGTAAATTTAAAAAAATAAATTAAAGCGAAACATTTCATAAAATATTTTCAGTACATAACCAACGTGGGATCAAAAATGTATCTTAGGACGAATAAAAGCGCCCCCAACTACAGAATTATTGTTATAGATTTGGAAAATCCCCTTGAAGAATATTGGCAAGCAATAATTCCAGTAAGTCTTTAAACAAAACAAGTAATTTTTAAGCAAAAAAATACGACCGGCTTCAGGGTCCAATGAATGGGAATTAGCCAAATTATTATAAAAAACGAATTATCGGAAACCGATCACGTGGTAAAATTTTATGTGTAAACATCTGTGTCCTGAACTATTACCGAACTAAAACAGAAAAAGTCTTGAACAAGTCAAGAAATGATCCCGTGTTATTCCGGAACTAGCCCCGAAAAAGTCCTGAACTAACATTAACTTCATTTCATTTTATTCATTTTGCTGATTTATATGTCATTTATTCATTTTCATTCTTACAACAAAACATAATTTTGACATAAATAATCACCGAGGCGAAAAGCTCAGCGGCTTTAGTACCTTACATGAATTCGCCTTGCTAAAATAGCTAATTAGATTTGTTTTCATTTGCACTATATATGTACATTACACTGACCAGAAAAAAATTAAATGGCTTCTTTTTTGACGCTCTTGACTTTTTAGCTTCCTTAATCGCTAAAAACTATCCCCTGCAAATTTGGGGGTAAAAAATTAACATTAAGAGGTCTGGCGTGTACGTTTTGTGCCTCCGACTCAAGTGCTTAAAATTACTCATCCTTTAATCCGTGCGCACACGAAATCCCTCACAAAATTGAATTTTTCTAAGGTCTTACAATATGTTTTCAAGGACGCTGAACATGTTCGGCGAGACAATTTTTCGATTTGACCCTTACATTTTGACATATTACGAACGCCTTTAAACAAATCTAATCGCGCTTCAAAAGTTGATCAAAAGTTTAAAAGTTGATGAGGATTCGCATAATGTTACATGACCACGGGGAATAAATACAATTTCACATGGATTTATTTTACAGTTTATGCAGATTTTGAGACTTTCAGAATTCAGAACTCTTTGAAGAAGTGTTTGTGTTCGAATTTTCCTTAAAAAACTCGAGCAAGTCCTTATCCCATTCTTCCTCAATTTCAATGTCCAATTCGTCTTCTTCATCGATTTCAAATGAAGTTTTCTCGATTACCTTTTCTAAAGCCACCTTCGATAAAAATTGTTCGATATTTATTTGGGACTCTAACGATAACTTGGATGCCTTATCGATTTCAGAATCCCGTCGAAGAGTTTGGTTTGTTTCTTAACCGGTGGCTGATAGCCATCATTTTTAACTCTCACCGACCGACCGAATAACCGACAGTTCATTCAACATTTTTTAAAAATAAAGCACAAAGGTAAAAAATAACCTGATAAGTCATAAGAGTTCCTTTGACCGGTTTTAAACAACAGCTTCGAAAATATTCGAAAATTGGCTACCTTAATGTAAACAAATTTCAATTCATCGCTTGTGCTACCAAAATCTTATATCTTATTATTTTATCTATATATAAATAGTCTGGGATTTCGGAATATTGACCATTTATTTGACTAATTTTGCACCGGACTTCCAGCTTTGACTCTAAAATTTAAGATAAAAAAAAAAAATGGAGGTCAACAATTTGCGCAGTGAGCGGCTCGTTTAATATACAACTATCATGGACATAACTTCCATGAATCCATGAATCTGTGGAAGTAAAATCAGACTTTACTTCCGTGACCAAAAGTCGATCGAAGCGCAGTTTGGTAATCGACCCTGAAACTGGAGATCAATTCATACGTACATTTAATTTAAAATATTTTGATGTATTTGTATAACTAGCACCAAATAAAGTAAAAAAAGAGAAATCTGAAAATAGTCCTAATTATTTGGGCCAAATTCTTACTTATTATGTTTGCTGGGTTGGAGGTGCTTCGGCCAATAGAGTTAAAAGCGAAAAATTAAATTTTCCTTTTACCCTCCTACGCGTTTCAACGCTCTCGCGTCTTCAGCAGAGAGTCTTTATTCAAAACATAAAATTCTTATCTTATGCTCTTATTTATATTTAATACTAGCCGACCACGGATGCGCGAGGCTTCGCCACGCGCTGAATGTATGCATATGAATGTACATTTACGTATTTGGAGAAAGAAATCATATGTCATCATGTACTTCGTTTATGATATACATAAAAAATCTTGTCTAAATCCGTTCAGTAGCGTGGTTAAAATATCTCGTCTTCCTTTATACTATGTATACATGCGAAGGCCATGCACTTTCTTTTGGTATCTCATTTTTTATCCAACGAACGGTGAAGATCTTATAGTTTTTAAACAGGTGGCAACCCTACTCAGAAAAATAATACATTATTACACATCCAGAGGCTAAGTCTTTTCATTTGACAGTGACGGTGCAGAACTGACTACTACGCTTATTAGAATTGAATATAGCAATTTTCTTAACAGTTGGCAACCCTATTACAATTCCAAATTAAAAAGGTCACTCTCTTATCGATACAGAATATATTAGAGAAAATCTCGTCAAAATCCGTTCAGTAGTTTTCGAGATTACCGCGTACAAAGAATCTCGACTTTCCTTTATACTATTTTGTTCTCCGGACGCCACTATCCAATTTCTATGTAGAATCGCTCGGTGATTCCGAAATTCGGGTAATTTTTTTTTTTCTCTAGATACGGTTTCGAAATATTTGCAATTTACCGTTATTCAGCTTAAGGCAAAAATTGGTTCCTTTTAATCACGTATATCTTGCGAACCAATTTAAAAATCTTAATTATAAATAACAAGAAATAGCAGCGCTGCCTAATGGACCAAGGGCCCTGCGCCATTTATGTTAAGAAATCGCACAAAAAAGCTCATGTCTTTCTTTGGTAGCACATCTTGAACAGACTGAAAAAGCGTCGCAGCTAGAAACGCAATAGTAAAATGTAATCTGCGTAGGCGAGCTGCCATTGATGCAGTTTGTTTGGAGTACTGGACACAGAATATGTAGAACAAATGTCCAAAGCAATCACAGACCTTAAGGAAAATGAACTACATCTGCTGCACCTGATCAGAAATCAAACATCCATTGTGGACTCAACCATCAACATTCTGAAGCAGGATCAAAAGGCGGTCAAGAGGAAGTTCGACCTCATTGATCAACAAGTCAGTCAAATATTCTAGAGTATCAACAACGCCAGGCATGAGACATACCAAGAAAAATTATTTCGAATCTTTTCCTCATTATCCATCCAACTCACACTTATGGCAGCCAATTTGTAAAGAATACAATCTGTAACATTAGCCGTTCTAATAGATACAAATCACGGAAGAATAAGTCCTCTTTTGCTGACGCCCAGCCAATTGCAAGTCGAAGTAAACAAAATCAAACTTCACTTATCAGCACCATTGGAACTGCCTGTAAACCAAGAAGATNCAGAGGATCAACAACGCCAGGCATGAGACATACCAAGAAAGATTATTTCGAATCTTTTCCTCATTATCCATCCAACTCACACTTATGGCAGCCAATTTGTAAAGAATACAATCTGTAACATTAGCCGTTCTAATAGATACAAATCACGGAAGAATAAGTCCTCTTTTGCTGACGCCCAGCCAATTGCAAGTCGAAGTAAACAAAATCAAACTTCACTTATCAGCACCATTGGAACTGCCTGTAAACCAAGAAGATTTACTGCAGCTATACCAACTCATGAAGGTTAAGGGAGGACTTACAGAAAAGCATGCTGTATTTAGCATCACATTGCCTCTGGTAGAGCATGATCGATACGACTTATTCAATCTGCTACCAATTCCTACTTAAATAATGGGACTATGATTGAAATAAGTCCGTGTGCTGCAGTTTTGGCAATAAACACAGCTCTCGGCCAATATTTCCCTCTGAGCATCTCCAAATTTCAATCATGTGTGGATATTAAAAATGGAAATACCATCTGTTCTAGAATACAAATTCGTTATAGTCATCGTCTATATACGCATGTGAAGTAAATCTCTTCAACAACAACACCTAGTCAAGTAGTCAACTGCGAAAACCACCAAACGATGTTGCATGGATATCACTACAACATAAAAATCAATCGATTTATGCCACGTCAGTTTCATCTCGTACGACAGCAGTATGTGGAAAAGAAATCATTCAGGTGATTTTAAAAGGATCATGATTGTTATCACTCCAACCAGACTGCATACTCAAATATAATTTTATATCAGTTCAAGCACATCAGTTGATATCGACGAGCCTTTGCCGGAGATCCATTGTCGCGCCAGACGAAGCTATATAGAAGCGTGTGGGGCTGACGGGGGCAAATTTAGAATCCACCTGAGGTACAGTCCCTCGTTGAGTGTGAGGGCGAAAGGCATTCTAGGCAATGTCCATGTGCTCGTTCCACCTGTTTTCATTGCTGTGGAGGCATACTCCGGAAAATTTGGCAAATGCGCAAAGGATGTGGGCGGCGGAATAAACCGCAACAATCGCCGTGTGGGCTGCGATGTAGAGAGAAACGACTTTAATGTTGGGTGCAAATTACTGCATGGGGTTAGCCGACGATTAGTGGGTTAATCGGGTACATTGATAAACGTTCTTTTCTTTTTGAATGTGAGGTGGTTTTCTTTCATTTGCGGTTTCGGTTATTGCTTTTGACTGAAAACAAAGTTTGACGAGCGCTCTGATTAAGATAACGTTTTGCGTGCGCACGTTTAACATTCTTACGTGATCATCGAGGCCACGATGCACAATGTTTCGACTATATGGAGGTAGGTGGAAATAATAGCACACCTGCACCGATTTCACTGAAACTTGACATGTGCTCTAGTTTTACTTAGAAATACAGAATTATGAAATTTTGCAAAGATGGAATAATTGCCACGCCCTTTACTCTTGTGGGCGGAAACA